CGATATGGAGATTAGAGACACCGCTGTTAAAACTACGGGATGAAGTCAAGGCTTTCCTTGCATATGTTAAGAACACAGGCATATAGCTCCGGTTTTAATATATAACACAAAATACATTTTTGTAAATTGACATAGATGCAACTATTAGTCTCCTTCAGCACTAGAGACTAGGTGCGACAGTTGGCTACAGTTGTGGTCCCGAAATCGGTACAGAGACAGCTATTGTCTTTAAGGCTTAAAAAATATGGAGGAAATGGCTTTCAGTTATGTGTTCAAAACAATACGGGTATGGTATGGTATGGTGTTTGGGTTTTAGGGCGACCTGGGCCATTAAAGGTCTATTTGCGCCCATGAAAACAATACTTTCGGCTCAACCAATTACTTCCCCAACTTGACTTGTGTGTACAAGCGTCAGAGTTAAGTGCCTGCAGCGATCTTGGACAAAGGTTTGGCGACCTATGACGCTGTTTTGTTTTCTAGTGAGTCAATATCCATGTCTGTATTAGAATACAAGGGAGATAAATCCCAAATTTATAGCAGTTTGTAAACACACTTGAAAAAGTATACACTCTTAAAAAAAAGAAACGTTCAGGTAGTTTCTTTTTGGATTTGTTAACCTAATAAAGTCGATAAATTTAATTTAATATCATAGATACAAATATGACATTTTAGGGCTCGATAGTCACATGGTGTCTTTGTACAAAGGCATTGACAACTGTTTATCGTCATGTCACATAAGGCCATAAGGTTGCGCTGAACTCAGTATTTCGTGTGACCGCCCCGGGCAGCAATCACGGCTCTGCAACTCCTCTGCACTGACTGGACAAGTGTACGAATTCTGCGGAATTCTGCGCCATTCTGCTTGTAACGTGTTGGCCAGTTGTGGGAGTGTCTGCGGCGTGATCTGACGTTGACCTACACGTCGATCGAGTCCATCCCAGAGGTGTTCAATTGGGTTGAGATCTGGAGACCTCGACGGCCAGGGCAAGTGTTTTAAGGTAGTCTACCGTGACACGAGCTGTGTGCGGTGGAGCGTTGTCCTGTTGAAACAGCTCCCTCTGGCGGTCAATGATTGGAAGAAGGTCAGGTTGAAGAATTTGATTCATGTAGCGATTTTGCTAAATTTGTCAATAATCGCCAACACCTGAAGGGAAGATGTAAATATGGCTGGTGTCCATGCAGGAAGCTAAAGTACTGTAAGTCCCTATGGTCCCAAGTATGGTGATCTACCTTCAGTTGCTGGCGATGTATAGCCCGATTATATAATGTTATGTATAGTGCTATCCATTTTATGATTACATATTAGTTTTAATATATATTTCTGTGATAAATCTAGTTATTTTACTGTCCTTTATGTTTATATGTAAGTCCCGATGTATTTATTATGTTTAACCCTTGACAGTCACGATACGGCTGTAATATTGCCGATGTGACTTAAAATTTTAACTCACTCAGTCTCCGCAATTATGGCATTGTGATGACGTAAGTGCAACAGTCGAATGTAGCGATCCTGTGCAGGGGTGGTAACTCTTGGTAGGACGGTTTTCGGACGGTCTGTAGTGGAATTGAACTGTGTGTATCGTACACAAAGGCGGCAAATGGTGCTGTGGTGGACGTTGAAGTGGCGTGCAACAGAAGACTGCAATTCCCCTCTTTGGGTACGTCCTATGGCGATGTCCCGAAATGTTGACAACTGAATGACAAAGTATTGGCTTATGCTTGGCTTTTTATAGCCACAACCACGAGATACGAATGTCATAACTTACACGTGCATTTTGGTTTACTGTTTTCCTCCATGACATTTTTGAACAAGTGTGAAAACAATGCCGTTAAAGACATTGCAAATCGACAATGGCTGCGTTTTGACGCACCGTTTGTCGAATATCAGGCCACCAACATTTTCCTATAGCATATATCCAATTTATATACCGGATTTTTTTGTGTAGTCAGGTTCATTAAACTACATACTACCTGTGCGTTTGTTTTTTTGAAGAGTGTATATATTTCGTTAGATATATCTCTATTCCTTATATTATCAAATATTTCATTTGTGTTTATGATGTGGAACTCAATTTCCTCGTTCAGACTCGATCCTATATGATGCCAAAAATAGAAAAAAGTTTTTACTCGATTGTGATACAACTGTTATTAACGGATGTACTGTCACAGATTTTATGGGCGCTTCATAATATTCGGCAAAGTGTGTTCGACGCCAGCCGAAAGCGATTATCTTATTACGCCAACAGGAGTCCACAGATAAAACATATTAGAATCGAAATATGCTACACTGGATAACTAGGGAAAGCGGAATACAGGTCATATCTACTCGTTCCCCAGTTACCATTGCCCATTGTATTATTTATATATATATATATATATATATATATATATATATATATATATATATATATATATATATATATATTCTTTTTTATATAAATAGTTATCACAATAGGATGGAGACATAAAATGAATAAAGGAAGCTTTTAGCTCAACACAAAACAAATGCAATGTCAATTATGACACTTATCAAGCTATTTTCATCTTTAGTTAAATATTTAAAGTGCAAGTCTCATGGGTTTATGAAAACTTTGCAGAATTGGATAGATCGTTAAATCGTTATTGCAAATATCGTAATCAAACCTTCGACATCGGAGCATAAATAAGGTTTCTTTGCACTTTTGTCCTGTCTATCAATTTCAAAGATTGAAACGAAAATACAGCGGAGGCGGCGCCTTTGTTTATAGAGGCTTCACGTGTACAAGAATGTCTTGTGTACATATGTATGCGTTTTAACATGTTCATAATACTGCTGTACACAAGGTGAGACTTAAACTATTTTTCTGTCCACATTGAATCCATACCAGTATCATATATACAACCCAGGTCTCCCCACTCACAATGAAAGGATGGCATATATACTGAATCCCAAAAGAAATGTCACCATGGCTAGATATGTGAGAAACCTTATTTGTCCAAACACTGTAAACATACTTTGAGACATACTAAAAAGATGAAACTTGGCAAAACTGATCATCAAGGTTGAAATTAAAGTATCAAATGTTCTTAAAGTGAAACACAACACTAGTCTCTGAGAAAATGGCATCATAAGTCAGTATCTCGTGTGTCCGCCATGTGCATTGATGACTGCCGTGCAACGTCGATACATGGAATGGATGAGGCGGTTGATGAAGGCCATGGGCACTTGAGCCCACACTCTGAGGAACGTCTGACGCAGTTCAGCTGCAGTTGTCGGCCTTGATCGGACGTCATTCAGCCGTCTTCGAATCTCGTCCCACAGGTGCTCAATGGGATTTAAACCGGGACTGAGGGCAGGCCACTGCATGCATGGTTCTGCTGCCATTCTGCTGGAGGAAGTCTCCTGTTGCTCTCGCAGTGTGGACATGGGCGTTATCATGCTGAAACTTGTGGTTGCGCGACGTGCCAAATGTGGTATGGCGTGTGGTCTCAATGTACCGAGCTTCTGTGACACCATTGCCTCTCCCTGGACCGATATCGATGTACTGCAAGACCACAGGGCCGACCCTCTGTGTAAGACCAATTCACCCCCCTCCCCCCAGATCGGTTTTATTGTCATCTGCTTTGGGTTTTTTATCATCAAATTCCATTTCTCCGGACAAGGTATAACGTTAAATTTCAGAAACTTTGACAAAAATTACCCAGATATTTAAATGACAACTTCTCATGCAATGTTACTTGGGGTGACGTTTCTTTTGCGGTTCTGTATATTCTGTGCCGGACTGGTGGTAATACCCAATCAGCTTGCAGGCCTATCTATTAAGTGTCTTTGGTGGTAATTTATACAGAAATAAAGATTTTTTTCGAAATAAAAAGGGGGTCGCGCACCCCCGCGCACCCCCGCACCCCCCCACCCCCCCCCCCACCCCCCCCCCCCCCCCTCCCTCTGTATCCGCCCATGTATATGGTCTCTGTTTTAATGAAGCTGACATTTTCTCACTGTTTTTTTATTGTCCATCGCATTGTACATGATACTGGTACACAATGATGTAAACAAAATCAATTATTATGTTTCATGATACTTGCACTTTAACTCATGTCACGCCGAAGATTCCCGACATGCGTACAATGTGTGAAGCCCATTTCTGGTGTCCCACGCCGTGATATTGCTAAAATATTGCTAAAAGCGGCGTAAAACCATACTCACCAACTCACTCACTGTGTTAAATTATAACTATGCGCGGTCTGTAGACTTCACGGAAGAGAACGATATAGTACATGTGATGAAATTACCTGTTTCGTTTGATGTCTTCTGTTATGTTGTCGTTGTATGAGACCAGCAATAAATCATAATAACTACGGCCATCTGAAAGACACCAGTATTATACCAGTGAAATGTTTCGGTAGACAGTCATGATCAATAAACATAATATCGATGCTTACTTTCTCTGCCTGACTATCCGGTCTTCATAATACCTATTTCATGTGTTTTCCGAGTGATCGCTACAACGTCTATATTCTCTCATTTAGTAAAATATTTGAACATTTCAGACAGTTTTACAAATTGCTTGAGTCACACATTCGATAACAGATATGCAAAAGATGGTCTCTGCTTAAGCTAACAAAATGAAATGTTTCTTGGGCAACGGCGCGTCAACTTCAATCATGCGTGTCTGTCCTTATTATTGCCATTACAAAAAGATATCCCGAGCATCAGATAAAGCATATTGTGTTATCCATAAAATGACATGTTTGACAACTGACATTGTATTAAAGAACCGAATTCAATGTGTGCTCAGTCGTGTTTATTGGTATTCATGGTTAGGGAAAATATTTTTCTTCCGAACCACATAATACTTTTCAATAAGAAAAAGAGAAAAAATGTCCCACCTACTTCATCACTTTTGAGAAAAATGTGCCCGAGAAACAATAATATTCTTTGCAGTCTTATCATAAACAATAAAGTGCATTAATAGATGTCCTCAAGTTGACGTATTCCAGCAATGATTTCTCCCGAGAAATTTTAACCAATCGTCGCTTCCTTTTGCCTTCAGCCCGGTCCTTCCTCTTCCGCCTTGGTCAACTATCAACATGGTGAGATCCAAGTGATCGGCCTAAAATCTAGGCCCATCTAGCTTATATTCAAACTTGTTTTACGGAATAAACGCAACAACTTACGCAGAATAAATCTCCAAATTGATAAGGGGCATAATTTACTACAGGTTGATCAGGCATGTGTATATTATTCTACATTTATGAACATACCCGAATCTTAACTTCGTTGAAGCAACATGGATTTAGGCTACCGTCCTGTCGTCAGTAGCGAATTCGAGGAAATGTAAGATCGAAATCGAAAAAGTTCTTGACGCTCTGTCTTGTCAGTCGTTTGAGTAGAGGTTTTTCAGTTCATTTGCTTTTTAACATCGACAGTTCTGAGTGTACATTAGCAAGTGCCTAGATCAGTAGACCACTAAAATGTTTTAACTGATATGTTTTGCGAGTAGCTCCACGGTTTTTGAGTTAGACAATATTTTCACGTGCGGTTGTTTTACGTTTAACCCATTCCTTCACATTCAAAGTCGAGCAAAATGTGTTTGTCCTACTTCACTGTCATTTTGATTTGAAGTAATCAGGTTACAGGACACATTACCATATTTACGCAGGGCCAGACCTGTCGAAATATCAAAGTTACCCTGTGATAATTTGCTGACATAACTGGCACAGTTGTCAAAGGTGCCATGCCTGAAACTACAGTGTTGGTTCAAATCCTACATTTGCCAGAATATGATTCTTGGTTTGATATCAGGTTTCAAGTGGTATATGCCTTTCATCTGCATCCATGGCTCTACATTCTTGTAGATTTTCAATTTTGTTAAGGGGTATTCTTATATATATCATCACAATTAAAGTGAATTGCCTTAGTAACATTAACAATTGCCAGTTAGCAATGTCAAGATTTAAGACATATTGAAACATATATGATTATCTTATATATTTCTTTCAGGCGCGTGTTCGTACAAAGACCGTGAAAAAAGCTGCTAGAGTAATTATCGAGAAGTACTACACGAAGTTGACCCTTGACTTCCACACAAACAAACGTGTGTGTGAGGAAATAGCCATTATCCCCAGCAAGAAACTCCGAAATAAGATTGCAGGGTAAGACATTAAGAAGCGATAGAAATTGGCACTAGTCCTGTTGTCCTTGCCAAACTGCAAGGATTTTTAGGGGTTTTGCTATATGTTATATGGACAAGTGGACTTTTATGTTAGTTTTTATTGCTGTTAAGATACTTTGTTCCAGATATATTGAGTATTAGGACAAATTATTGATGAAATGAGATGATTCGCTTTTAATTCAGATATGCTTTCTGCCTTTGAATGCATTGTTTTATCAGTATCAAATGTTGAAAATTTATTGTGTTGAATTTGTCACATTTTTGTGAACCAAACAGATGTGTTTCCAATATAGTAAGTTGATCTTTAAAAAAACCCAGCAAACGCAAATGGCATTTCTTCATAAACATGATTAAGACCATTGAAACAAGTCATTAGTCAAGTAACGAATAAGGTACAGCTATTCTCCTTGTCCCCTACATACTTAATCAAGACACAACACCATTAACCTTGGAATACGCTGTGTGATACACCGCCGATTTATTTGCATATAGTCAAAGACAATGTTATTCGTTCATATACACTTGTATATACATGGTCAGCAATATGCTATGAATATTTATATTTTGCTGAAGCCTGACACGTAAAACCAGATATAAAAACCTTTTGAAGAAAACATCTAGAACCGTGTTACTTCAGTGGATGCAGCAGCAAATACTGGAGGGTATACAGTATACTCATGACATGTATATGCAAATCCAAACAGAAATACTAACAATTCATAAACATCATGTTACATATACGAATTTTATAATTTATTTTATACAGTGCAAATCACGTAGTATATGCAGTATTATCAAAGCTCTTCAGCTTAATCATATTAATATATATATGATCATTTATTGAAGAACATGTACTATAAAGGCCCTCAACGCTGTATTATAAAGGCTAGCCAGCCAAGCAATATCATTGCATCCAAAATGTACACTTTCACAATAAAGCAACGCTGTATTGTAAAGACTCACCAGCGAAGCAATAGCATCACAAGCAACAGTACACATTAGCCCCAAATATGCATTCCATATCCATGATTTTCTGAAACACATGAAGTCAATAAATCATTACATGAAAAAGAATAATATTGTTTACTCTATATAGATGTACATCAAATAACTATAAGAAACAAGTGTGAGGCAGTGAATGCACAGTTAGCGAGAGAACAATTCAAAATTGTACCACCCCTTATATACTTCCATAATCACGCCACCTTGGGGCACAAAATCTACTGCTAGGAGTAAATAATTTCTATCTTATTCATTCTTCAAACAAGAGAAATATTATTTCTCCTTGTCCTCTACATACTTAATCAAGACACAACACCATTAAAATTGAAATATGCCGAGATCTACAAAGACAGTTATAGGCCCAAGGAAAGTGAAACTTTCATTCTGTTATCAATACTTTCTTCGATGTGGGGCGGTCGGGTAACCTAGTGGTTTAAGCGTTTGCTCGTCACGCCGAAGACCCGGGTTTGATTCCCGACATGGGTAAAATGTGTGAAGCCTATTTCTAGTGTCCCCCGCCTGATATTGCTTGAATATTGCTAATAGCGGCGTAAAACCGTACTCACTCACTCACTCACTCACTCACTTTGATGTAACCTTTTTTAGCGTTTTTGCTTCTCCAGCGACCATGTCGTTTGAACATACAATCTGTTATACCTATGCAGACCATACTTCTTGATATTGTCAACAAAGGGAGTTAAAGCATCCATAAATAGTTCCCTTAAGCTGGTATAAGACAATGGAGCATTGTCCTTTCTAAGAACATATCCTGAACAACCTTTGCTTTCATTCCTGAATATGTACTGATTACAATCTGGATGGACAGATGCAGCATTTAGATATTTCTCCACACAAGCTACTGGACACAGCATGGAATCTGTCCTGCTAATAACAAGACAAGGGCCATCCTGTATATATCCGTCTTTGACTTTTCAATAAAAAAAACCATGTGTGACTTATAAAACAAAATATCAGATCGAGATATATGAATTAGTTCTGCAGATCTTAAAAATCTGGCGAAAGCTAATAAACGCATAGATAATAATTCACTGATCTAATAAAGATGCATTGATCATTTTTGAATCATACAAACATTCAAGTACATATCAACTGTGATTGGTCACTTTTTAACCAGTGGCTGAGAAAATTTGCGCCTAGCTCCTTCCAAAACATATTTGACAAGACTATTTTCAGGGGACTCTCTAGTTCAATGTTACAATGAGCATGCCTTATACTATAAAATGCCGTTAAAACTGGTGATAAGGTTTCACTCTGTTTCACAACAGACAACAAATAAATGCAAATGTGAAACGGGTAATTGATCACTCGTGAACATATTATTTGCGTTTGCCCACCTTTTCCAATTCCTTAAATCTCTTGACGTCTGAATGAACTCTTCCCTTAATGAACCAATCTTCTCATTGAGGTAGGATTTGAAATCTGCTCTTATTTGAATTAAGCTGTTGCAAAATGGCATCCAGCTTAGCTTCTGTACCTATATATTCAAGAAACAAGTGTGAGGCCGTTCATGCACAGTAAGCGAGAGAGTTAAAAAATTGTACCATCTCTTATATAATCCCTTAATCATGCCACCTTGGGGCACATAATCACATGATTATCGACATACTGCTAGGAGAAAATAATTTCTATCTTATTCATTCTTCAAAAGATAGAAATATAATGGCTGTCCTGCTAGCCCAAGGCTTTGTACAGACTAGTCCAAGGAACTTGCTACATGATGCTATCACAAAATATGATCACTTTTCTTGAAATTGTTAATTTAACTTTCACCTATCTGTGACTATGATCAGGAGAAAAACTTTAACACTAAAAAATCTAAATCTCCTGTTTGTTGATGTATTGAGTTTGGATGCATTTGAAGGTTTGTGGGAAAGAAGCAGGAAGTAACTTTTTCAGTCCTTTTTTCGATCACCAGAAAATGGAAGTTCTAAGGATTTTTTTCATACATTGACAGGGATTGAGGGCATTGTTACCTAACCTTGCGTTGTTGGTTTTATATTTAGTACTTATTTACTGCCGTAGTATTCAGTTAATAATAAGGGCACAAATTGATGTCTGGTAATCTTGCTATTTTATTGTGAAATGGGTCATAAATACCTGGGTGTCAAAAAGTATTGTCTTGTACTTGTTTCAATCGACTGACCTATCTAAATATCGATATTGTAGTATGAAAAAGTACCCATAAGTTCTAAGGTTTTTAAGTATAAGTATATACAAATAAGGAAAAGTTGTAATGAAAAATATAAATGTTAAAAATAAGATATTTAAAGTAAGAAACTAATCTTCCTGCTAACCTTTTGAAGATGTACAAAAAATATAAAATCTATGAATTTGAAAGTCCTAGGCTACAGAAAACCAAAAATTCCATGTGAGCAACTCCCTAATTGTCATTCAGCTTCGAACTAATGTTTTTGAATGAAAAACTGTTGTCATTTGATAATTGCTGCAATATACATGATACATGTATAAGAGGCTTTCATGATGGGGACCATCTGATCCAATTGCAATTAACATGAAATTTCATCATAAATCATTTTGTGTTTGTGAGACAGGAACCCACCTGACCATGCCTTTGAAAATCCTTTATGTGACAAGTAATTAAATGTAAACACTTTCAGGGTCAGTGATTTATTTTAAGAACTAATCCTCCATGGGCATGCCGGCTTAGAATTGTTTCCCAGCAACTTGTTCCGTCGTAAAGTGAGCATCTTGAAGGATGGAAAACCTGTAGTATTTGATCAGTTTCATAATGGGCATTGAGATATTGACCAGGTACTACTATGATGCATCATATGTTTAAACACCAGACTTATTTACTTGCTGGCATATCATTCTAGTTTGTTTGGCAGATTTTTATATGGGTGGTTGTTGCAGGTTTGTGACCCATCTGATGAAGAGAATCCAGCGTGGCCCAGTGCGTGGTATCTCCATCAAGCTGCAAGAAGAGGAGAGAGAGAGGAGAGACAACTATGTGCCAGAGGTAAGTTCACAAGCTCCAAGCAGTTTGCTGAATAGTAACTGTTCATCCATGTGAGCCAGCAGGGAAAATAAAGTTGCAACTGAATATGAATTTTCTCAGAAATCTTGTACGTTTTCTAACATGGTGGGATTTTGTTTTTCAGGTTTCTGCTATTGATGTGGACATCATTGAGGTTGATCCCGACACCAAGGAGATGTTGAAGTCTCTTGTGAGTATTACATACATACATACATACATACATACATACATACATACATACATACATACATACATACATACATACATACATACATACTCTCCCCAAATACTGCTTGCCTACCTTATTTTGAAATATCATGTAACAAGAAAAAACACATTCTTTTATGAATTATTATTGCAAGAAGTTAAATTCAGCCTGGCCTTGTAGTCTGTTTTTAGTAATGTCAGCTCAAAACTTGTCCCGTCTAATTTTGTAACAATTTTTTTTAAACCACCGAATATGCTCTCCCCAATACCCCAATGCTATTTAGACAATCCTTTCTGTAGTGGAGAGGGATAGGGGGAACTTCCCTCCTTCCTGGATGCTTTGACAGTTTCTTGAAAATAAAGAAAAGTTAACTAATTATGATCAGTGATTGATTAGTTTGAACAAATAGGTTATGATGGATGAAATAAATGATTCAAAACATGAGTTAACCGTCACAATTGTCTTTTCTTAAGCAGATAATTTTTTGTGCAAACAAAAACAGTCCTTTACAGTTCAAAATAGGGAGATTGCTCTCAAACTTGCAGGCTAAAAACAGGGTTTCCCCTGACGCAGAATTCTTGCGTATATGACTCTCAATTAAGGAAAAATACGTCCAGAAATACGTCAAAATATCTATGTTGTTGTTTACCAGCTTTGGAATAAAAATATTACAACTACTCACCTGAACTTAATTTATAAACATTTTCTGAAGACAATATATGCAAACATCTTAAAATTGACGTCTAGTTTTTAATTAATCGTCGTTTTTAGAAGTAACATAACTTTGCATAACACCACTGCCACGGACTAATTTGCATAGCCTGTCACATGACCAGACTTTTCTCTCGTTTTAAAACAAACGCTAAAATCAGAACAGCCGGGGGCTTTACATATTGTTTTGCATAATTATATAGATATGCTACTAAAACTGTGCGACTGTGAGGTACAGGACAAAATATATTTATTCATCAAAGTGAACGTAACTCTCACACTCGATGTGGCTTCGATGACAGCACGTGATGTAAACAAAGGAAAACTTCGCAAATGGACAAGGTTTTTCACGTTTCGGCATATTTTCTCACTAAAAGTTAACCATGACATATGTTTATCTAGATGTGTAGACTCGTAAAATATGAAACAGAAGAAAATATTATCATTGTTGCGGAGAATAATGTGATTTGGCGAGGTCACAGTATGTGGTTTAGCAGAACCTATGGAACGGGGTAAACGGAAGTTGTAAGTACCGGAGGGACACATGTTTTTGACGAAATTTAGATTAACATTATTAAATGAAATTTTAAATAAAATTAATAAAATAGATGACAAATATAAGGTCAGATATACAGAGAACACGTTTTTATTACCAGATAGTGTAACAACAGGATTACCTTGCGTAATTCAATTTGGATTTGTTATGCTATTTCCAATGACGGATCATGACAGCCTGAAATGAGACTCAAGAAAAGTCTGTGCGTATTATACACGAGAGATATTTTTATCAGGATTTAATTGCCCATAATTAGGGGTGAGTATTATACACGAGTGTGTATTATACACAAATGAATATGGTATATACGAAATGTAAAGCTTTGGGCTTGTTTGTTGTTTTTTGCTAATAAACTGTATTCAACCAGAAAATATTACGAGTGTTCACAATTCTTCAGTTCAACTTCACTGTTGATAGATAATACAAGATAACTAGATAAAACATGTAAATGAGTTAGTGGTATTAAAATATAATCTGACATGAAATGTATTTTAATATCCATCCATGATTAAAAATTATGTCTCACAGTTGAGACTGATGTTATTTATTCATCCTGTATTAGTGTCACTGTAAATTGTTTCATGAGCTGTGAAGTAATTAAAGATTGTGAAAAAATATAACCAACAAACTTTGTTTTTCATTCATATATCCTTTATTTCTCTGTAGTACAATCAGCTGAGAACATTTATAAGCACTTGTTAACTTAAACTAAAGACATATAATATTTAAAAGATACTTAGCTTTAAGTGTAACATTAAAGTGAACACTTTAAATTTCATTAATCCTACAATAAAACATTTGACTCTCAAAAAATATTTTTGACTCCCCAAAATTCATAGGCTGAGTCAAGGTGACTCTCAGATATTGAAGTCTAGGGGGAACCCTGTAAAAATGTCCCTTTTCTGTCAGTGTAATCTGAAGCATTCTACATATAAGGAGAACTGCCTCCGTGGTCTGATGGTAGAGCATCCGCCCGGAGAGCAGAAGGTCCGGGGTTCGTTCCTCGGCCGCGTCATACCAAAAGACGTTCAAAGATGGTACTTGTTGTTACCCTGTCTGGCGCTCGGCATTAAGGGGCTAAAACAAGTACTGGTCGGCTCGGAGTCAGTATACTGTGTCTGAGTTGGGTATTCATGTTAAACTGCGGCATGGTATCTCAGTGAGCTAGCACTATAAATCGGCATCAGTCCGGACTAGTACAAGCAGCCACACACATACACATGCATGCACGTTGCTATATAAGTACAATAATCTTGGATGCGACATTAAACCCCATTTCACCTCATCACCTCTACATATAAGGGCTCATTTTCACAAAGCAATGGTAACACTAATATTTGTGACAAACAAACTTCAATAGTGACTTACATAGCACTACCTTTGCCAGTGACATGAGCATCGTTCTACGCAATTGGGATACGATGGCATGAATCAAACTGTGCTTGTCAGATGAGGTGACTAACGGGGGATCAGGTGGTCAGGTGGTCAGGCTCGCTGACTTGGTTGATGCATGTCATTGTATCCCAATTGCGTAAATCGATGATGATGATCTTAATCGCTTGTTTGTCTGGTCTAGATTTACTATTTACATACCGCTGCCTTATAGTTAAACAACAAACAATTGCCATTGAGTCTGTTTTGGGACCAAGGGAGGTGACCCTGGAAGTATAGTCATGAGTGCTATATGGAACCATTCCAAATTTCATTTCTCATACTATTGATTTCCCCAGTCTATCATATATTGCTTTTACTTATACAAAAATCTAATTTCAGGACTTTGCCAACATCCCTGGCCTGCAAGTTACTCAGCCAATCAACTCTGTCAGCTTCAGGGGAGGAAACCAGCGTAACTAAATGTACTGGAGAGTCGTGTAAAGAAGGGGGAAATAAAAAAAAATCAGAAAACTATGTTGTGTTTCTTTTAATTAACGGATTAACTGAATCAAAATTATAAGAGACCGAAAATGTTTTCATGTGAGCTGATGTATTAGTTGTCTTGTCGGGACATTTGTCTGTTAAACATCTAACCTGAATTGTTAGGTGTACAACAGTATAAGAGAGCTTAGTTACAATCTTTGCAGTTGTATTGATAGCTCTTGTTGTATGTTTTGACTTGCCAAGTTGTCATGCAATTATTGTGTGGTAAACAGAAAACATATAATTTCTTTCAGATTACATTTATTCTGATTTATAATGAGAATGTAATTCTTTACATTGTGAAATTTTGGAATGGACTTTAATCTATCGTGTCACTCACTAAACATTCCTCTTAAAATCCTTCCCACTTGTGAACATTCCAGTATCATATTTGCACAAGTTCTATATGCCTCTGGCTATGAAAGGGTAGTTGTTTATTTTGAGAAATTCAAATTTGCTTCCACAACAGCCATTAATGGTTTAAAAAACAAACCTTTGCCTAAACATTCTCAAATGTAATCCAAGGTGAAGGACACGATTTGAAGTATTTTAATCGTCAGAAATTTAAATTGTTTCTGTGTATATACTTCATATTTATCACTCGTATCCCCAAAGTGGCATCCCTAACGTATACAGTGGTCCAAAGATCAGACTGAATCCATGGTCTTCATAGTGGATAGATCATCTGCCCAGAGAGCGGAAGGTGGTGTTTGATCTCAGACTGTATACTACCAAAAGATGGTACTTGTTTTCTTGCCTTGCGCTCGGCATGAAGGGATAAAACAAGAACGTGTTGGCTCGGAGTATGTACATTGTCCAAGGGTTATCCATGTTAAACTGTGGCATGTTATCTGGATGGGCTGGCACTATCAAGAATAAAAACGACGTTAGTCTGGACTACCGCGTGTACGCACGTACACGCGTCGCTTATACAAGTGCACTGATCTTGAACGCGACGGTAAACCCCATTTCACATACCTGGTCTGGATCTCCAAGGTCATAAACCTTGGTTTGTCAGCACTGTACCTGAGCAGCTTGGATTCACACAAATATGACCACCTGTCTCAAGCAGCCCCAGCCCCGACCACGCCCACTCGCTCACTGTTTGTGAAAAGTAGCCAGATGCATGGTCAGAAAAATGCTCCTTATTGCCGAATACCAGGTACTCAAGCCTTGACGATCTATACCAAATATTTGACAATTTAAACATGTCTGGTCGACTATTTGTGTGCAAGCTTAACCCGAAAACCTTAATTTAATTTGAAAACAAATATGTATCTTCTGACTTGCAGTCTCGGGCAAAATGGAAACGTACTATTTTGTACATTTACGAACAAGTGAAATACCTGACCATGAAAACCCATGAAATAAAGTCGATTGAATTGTCTCCCTTTGACCATGACAAAAATATTGAAACGTCCCAGTCTGTGGACCTGGATCCGGCTCATCTGTCATTCTAATTTAATTAATTAAAACATATTTATGAAACTATCCAGATCTGAACCTATGTAGTACATTTACTAGCACTTAAACATGTTTAAACCACAGGCTTCGTTTATGAATTTATGGATACCGTTTTCATTGGGGAGGGGGTGGAGGAGTGTTCACGTACAGCTGCCCGCTTTTTGATGAGAGTGTAGACTTCCACTGTGACATAAGATAATATTTGGAAATTCTCTTCAAAACTGCAAATAAATATTACACCGGCTTTTCACGCATTGCTAAAGAATACCAAAGACAAAACTGCATGAAGCGCACTGTAAAATGTTTCGCAAGGCGTTGGTGTTTGCTCTTTGAAAGAAATGCGACTCAATTTATTTTTTGTATGTGCAAGAAAAGTGTCCATCCATATGTTATCCCAGTGCTTTCATCGCTTCATTCAGGAGTGTGGCGTATTGACCCCCTGAGTATTCCGGAATACAACAGTCCCCAGGGATCCATCCTTACCGTGTGTGCTGACTTATGACGTGCCCCCAAGATGTGAGTCGCTGTTCATGCTATCAACCACTAATGATTGATTATTAGATTGAAACACGCTGATTGTTTTAAGACGCCATGCTTTAGCTGTAGGGGCGGTGGGTTAGCCTTGTGGTTAAAGCGTTTGCTCGTCACACCGAAGTCCCGGGTTCGATTCCCCACATATCTTGTGTCCCCCGCCGTGATCTTGCTGGAATATTGCTATAAGCGGCGTAAAACCAAGCTCACTTCACTCACTGCTATAGCTATAAATATCCGCGCTAGTAACAATCACTCACCCAAGGCACCTCAGTTGTTAAAGTGACGATCGAACATTGTTTCTCTTAACACACACAACTTATATTTGTGTTTCGAAGGTTTCACTTGACAACCGACCACTCGTTATCATTGCAACATTGGTTGAGGCGACGTGTGGTTTATACTTGACATTGATACATGCAAACTGTTTGATATCGGTGGGATGAATTAAACATATACACTTATATTCCTGACCCATCACGTTTCATCTCTGGTCCTTCCTGCAGTGCCTGCTTCTCCGTTTTCCCTTTGGGCGGACGAGTATGCCAAGAGTCTCGCCAGGGATTTATTTCCAACTTATTTGATGTAGTTTGTCATCAGATTAATAAAACGTTCGGAATTCAAATCTGAAGTTTGTTGTTCCTTGTTGACAACGGTACATGTTTGACATTGCTAATTCCTTTTGTGACACTGTCGAGACTGCCTCTATGCAGTGCCTTGATTACATCTGTATGCAGTGCATTGAGCACATTTGTATGCAGTGCCTTGAACACATTTGTATGCAGTGCCTTGAAAACATCTGTATGCAGTGCCTTGATTACATCTGTATGCAGTGCATTGGTCACATTTGTGTGCAGTGCCTTGAGCATATCTGTATGCAGTGCATTGAACACATTTGTATGCAGTGCCTTGAACACATTTGTATGCAGTGCCTTGAACACATCTGTATGCAGTGCATCGATCATATCTGTATGCAGTGCCTTCAGCACATTTGTTTGCAGTGCCTTGATACCATTTGTATGCAGTGCCTTGCTTTTTGTTTGTTGTTGAACGCCTCACTCAGCAATATTCCAGCTATATCACGGCGGTCTGTTAATAATCGAGTCTGAATCGAGACCAAACAATCCAGTGAGTGATATCATGAGCATCGATCCATACAATTGGGATACGATGACATGCATCAACCAAGTCAGCGAGCCTGACCACCCGATCCCGTACGTCGCCTCTTACGACAAGCAAGCTCGCCTTTTACGGCAAGTATGGGTTGCTGAAGACATATTCTACCCCGGATCTTCACAGGTCTGCAGTACCATACATCTGTATGCAGTGCCTTGAGCACACTTGTATGCAGTGCCTTGAGCACGTCTGTAACACTTGTATGCAGTGCATTTGAGTATATCTGTATACAGTGCCTTGATCTTTTTGTATGCAGTGCCTTGAGCATATCTGTATGTAGTGCATTGAATATATCTGTATGCCGTGCCTTGAACACATTTGTTTGCAGTGTCTTGAGCAAATCTGTATGCAGTTCCTTGAGCATATTTGTATGCAATGCATTGAATATATCTGTATGGCGTGCCTTGAGCATATATGTATGCAGTGCCTTGAGCATATCTGTATGCAATGCATTGAATATATCTGTATGACTTGCCTTGATCATATCTGTATGCAGTTCCTTGAGCTCATCTGTATGCAGTGCCTCGAGCATATCTGTATGCAGTTCCTTGAGCATATCTGTATGCAGTTCCTTGAGCATATCTGTATGCAATGCATTGAATATATCTGTATGACGTGCCTTGAGCATATCTGTATGCAGTGCCTTGAGCATATCTGTATGCAATGCATTGAATATATCTGTATGACTTGCCTTGAGCATATCTGTATGCAGTTCCTTGAGCATATCTGTATGCAATGCATTGAATATATCTGTATGACGTGCCTTGAGCATATCTGTATTCAGTTCCTTGAGCTCATCTGTATGCAGTGCCTCGAGCATATCTGTATGCAGTGCATTAAGTACACCTATCTGCTGTCAGGCCTTCAGAGGAGGGCGGTGGAGTAGCCTAGTTGTTAATGCGTTGGATTCGATTCCTCATATAGGTACAAAGTTAGAAGTCCGTTCTTGGTGTTCCGCGCTGTGATTATGACTAAATGCGGCGTAAAAGCACACTCACACCAGTCCGGTCACAAGATGCATATTTAGAAATTTCTTTCAAACTCCAACCTGTCCCTATTTTGGAAAGAAGAAAACTATTAATGAACGGTTCTGTCATTGAGCCATGATACAAAAGGCTAAGCATCTATAGATAGAAATGCACTCGATTATCCAGGGTATAATATTTTCCGTTCTATTATGTCATTCTCGATTATCCAGGGTATAATTTTTTCCGTTCTATTATGTCATTCTCGATTATCCAGGGTATAATATTTTCCGTTCTATTATGTCATTCTCGATTATCCAGGGTATAATATTTTCCGTTCTATTATGTCATTTTCGATTATCCGGGGTATTCTGTTTCCTTTCGTTTATGAAAAATAAATAGCCATCGTGGTCCCATTCACTGGCATAGCTTCATTTTTGGACCGATTCGCTTGGCGTGACGTTACAACTAACCGTTCAGTCAAATACAGTATGTGCTGAGATAGCGATAGGAGAGATGGCACTCATGAAGATCCGGGGTAGAATAGGTCAACAGCAACCTATGCTTGCCATAGAAGGCGACTATGCTTGTCGTGAGAGGCGACTATGCTTGTCGTGAGAGGCGACTATGCTTGTCGTGAGAGGCGACTAACGGGATCGGGTGGTCAGGCCCGCTGACTTGGTTGAAGCATGTCATCGGTCACAATTGCGTGGATGGATGGTCATGATGTCAATCACTGGACTGTCTCGTCCAGACTCGATTATTTACAGACCGCCGTCATATAGCTGTAATATTGCCGAGTGCGGCGTTAAACAACAAACACACAACAAACAAACAAAGGGAAATGGAGATGAT